AACACAAGATAATAATAATTAAAAAAAAAAAAAGAAAAATGTTTTTCGAAGTAATAAAGGATCAAATAAATAACGTGAGACTTGTCATACAATTATTAATACAAATAGGATCTGGTGACCTATTAAAAACACATGAGGCTTGGAATATGTTTTTGCTACTAAACAAACAAACACATCTACATCTCTCCAGGAAGCATTGTATCTTCCGGAAGATCACAAACAGCGATACCCTGAAACCAACAACAAACCGTACGTGTTATCTTACCAAGTTTCACAACAAAGCTAATAACACATATTTTGCCAACCAATGAATTTGTAATGAGAGTACGTACCTCTCCAGTGAGGTGGGCAACACATCTCTTCTCAGCAAGCAACTCACCTTCTGTCTGCAAAAATACAACATTAATGTCAAAAAACCTCTTTACCTAGTGTAACTATATTAACATTCTTTCTTGGCAATCGATCGAACCTTCTCACTCTTAACTTAGAAAGATAGACCTCGTTGCTCAATCGGGATATTAGATGACTACTACTACTACAACCAATCATGTCTATTAATCTTCTTGAATTGATTATGAACTGTAGATTTTCGACACTGCTTGAGCTAGACGACCAAAATGCAACAAAAAATGGATTGAAATAACTCCAAGCAAGCCTCCGAACAAATGAGAGAGCATCGAACATGACCAACTTGGTTGAAGAAGGCATCTTTTCTTTTGTTTTCTTTTTTTTTTTCCCTTTCAAAATAATAATATGAAGTTATGATGAGATACGAAGGATTTTCTATAGCACAACAGCTAGAAGTCCATAATAAAATGCAAAGGAATATAACTCAAACCGAAAAAGTGGAAATACGACGAACAGAATATACCTTCTTGATTCGGCTCCAAAGGTAATCATCAAATATCACATCCTTGACGAGTTCATAATCACCGTCGCCCTTAAAATATTACATAAAAAATGATACGTCATATATATATATTTGGGTTCTTGAAAATCCAAGCTGATAACTCGTACAAGGAAAAACTCTTTGAGGATACTTACATTAGATCTGCATGGCATACTAAAGACAATATCATCTACTATTCCATAAGGATTGCCAGCAGTATATACCTGAACATATATAGTGCAAAAATCCTGTAAGACTAAAGTATGTAGAACTCAAATGCAGTGAATCATCTATGGATTAGAATCGTCTTACGACCACTCAATAAAACAAAGAACCTAAAGTTTACTAAAATGAAGTCAATTTATCAATATACTTGCAAACGATGGTCATCATATTTTCTATAATTTGTTCAGTTCATGTTCCTAGCTACAGATTTTAATGCTAAAAATAGTCTCCATGATTACTTGGACACACTAAACATTAAAGATTATTTTTGAATATAAGTTACCTAAGAGTCATTATACTTAGATGTAAACCTTGATATAAGACACGTAATGTGAGCATGATTAATTTTACTCGTGAAAATGTCATAATCTTTTTTTTTTAATCGAATAAAGGGAAACAAGATAGCTTTGTTATAGTAACAATCAACATTCTCAAATGTTTTCACAAATTCAATTATAGAATTTGACCATACAAAAACATCTTACAAGCTCCATCATTTTGTGTTTTCCGAACACCTCGACCACTCATTTCAAACCCCCTCTCCATAGTTGAGCAAAACTTACTCATAATTCAAATCAAACACACACACACACAAAAGAAAAAGAAGAATCAAGTCATCATCAAACTCACCCCTGAAGAGAACCAGTCTCCCTCAGGTGTAGGAGTTACAAGAGACCTAATCGCATCCACAATCGACACTGCAGTCGATGCTGCAGACGACCTTCCCCATTTCTGAATGAGGGCCCCACCTCTCTGGGAACACATCAATTTATATTATGTTTGGCAAAAGATTACTCATCTGGCACAACCATAAACCTTAACTTTAATCAAGTCTCACCTTCTGGACCTTCTCTGTGAACTCTTCTTCTAACCACTTAGTATCTTCGATCACATCCTTCACGGGAAAACCATTGATTCTGGCATTTAAAAAGTCTGGGACCTGAAATGGAGCACTAAGCATTATTTAAAATTTGGAAAAATGTTCAAAAAGAGAAAATATCAATCTCTAATCAATGAATATTGAGTGACCTGTGTGGTAGAGTGGTTTCCCCAAATGGTAACATTTGATACTTTGTCATAAAAAACACCAGCTTTAAGGGCCAACTGCACATCAAAATACAACAAGATGCCCCGTTTTTTTTTTTTTTTTTCAGAGTATTAGGCTAGGGATAAAGAGATCTCGAGATATTGGAAATAATGGATGCAACTGAAAAATACCTGACATTTTGCTCTATTTTCATCTAACCTAGTCAAAGCATGAAAATTTTTGGCTGGAATATTTGGGGCATTTTTCAAACAGATCAACGCGCTTCAAAGGCCACAATGAACATAATTAGTAAGCACAGTTGGGAATAAAAAATAAAAGGGCTGGAAAAAATAGTGCATTTCACTTTACTTGGTATTGCAAGGGTTGCCCACTACAATTACTTTCACGTTTCTGGATGCAACGGCATTCAGGGCCTTGCCCTGCAAATGGTGGTCCAAAGATACATATGACTACTATAAACGATGAGGTAGCTTTTTTTAACACAAGAAAACTAAAATAAAGATAACCAAGATAGACATGCACAAACAAGATTATAAGTAACTCTCACCGAAGCATTAATACGGATAGGGAAGAAAAAAGAGAACCTGTTCCGCAAATATCTGCCCATTTATGTCTAGTAAATCTGCCCGTTCCATTCCAGGCCCACGGGGCTTTGCACCAATCAAGAGGGCCCATTCAGCGTCTTGAAACACATCATAAGGATCGATGCCAATACTCACTTCCCTCAATAAAGGAAATAATGAGTCCTCGAGTTCCATTGCAACTCCTACAGTGTATCCATCAAGAATTATCAGCAATTTCCAAAGAATAAAGGACCTAAATAGGTAACAATGTACCTTCAAGTGCTTGGAATGACCGTTCAGATCCTAATAATTTCAATGCGATAGGTTGATTTGGGCCAAATACCTCCCCAGAAGCAAGCTGATAAGAGGAATTAAAAAGTTACAGCTTAAATCACGTAAATACTTTCCCGCAAATATAAAAAATATGCAATGTGGTTCAGAGAACCGAACAACATTTCCATCAAGTTATCCTTTGTAGGAGAACAATTGAGTTTTTAACATAAATGGTAATTATATTACCATCAAATACAAAAAACTAATGGTTCATGGATATTCTTGCACCACTAGCAGAAAAAAGGAAGAAACAGAAGAGAGAAGAAAGAGAAAAGGCAATACATTAACTAACGGTGAACCATCTAAGTTTATGATTGTCATATGATCCGTGTTTTCGCCAAGTATATTAATAATTCATTCTTTGATGAAAAGTAAAATAGGTTTGTCTCAGTTCATAATAGTTACCATACTTTTCTGCACCAATTGGTTTCACTACTGGCAAAGATAACAACCAACAATGTTTCTCACTTTAAAAAGTAGATGATTTGATATCATCCCCGCAGCCCCTGAGACAGCAATATTAATTAATTTCTTCCACGATTTCGTTTCCTCTTCCTGCAGAAAGAACCAAACAGGAAATTGCGTCGTCACACAAAAAATATATTCAGGGCAAATTAACGGAAACTCTAAAACATAAAAGCACATATTTAGTCCTTCTCCGTAGCTTCCAAAGACAATTTTGAAATTCGGTAGACCCATGATCATGAAACCTGGCAACTGATACATGCATAACCAATAAAATACATTTCTCTGTCATTGTAAAACAAAGAACTGGTTATATGAGGGAGCAAGGGCTTGAAAATTAATACAAGGGGCGAGGTCTACTGTGGTCCTACAACAAGTACTTAATAACATGAAAATTTCCCATGAAGTGGGAAAAGGGAAAAGAAGCCCATCTATCTATCTGCTTCAAATTTATTAATCTAAGCCATACAATTTTGGATGAACCAGAAAGATTAATGCCCTCAAGAGACAGACAGATGGTCGTTGAATGCACCAAAAATACTTACAGCTTTGAGATCATAAGTGAGACAAAAGACCCCATAACAGTCAGGTTTCTTCTTGGGTTCCTCCTCTGTCTTCACTGCCACCGGTGTTTGCACTTCACTGCCAAACAATAGTTAAAAAAAGAAAAGGAAAACAAGAACACCATCACCGGAAAAATCTTTAACTAAACACACAAATCAAAAGAAGGGACTAACTTGGAAGTGACAGAGCATCTTATTGTTGAAATCCGGAAGGGCGGGCAATATGCACGGCGCTGCTTGGAAACTGGAGTTGATACATAAGAAAAATGTGAAGAATACACAAGGGTTTTTCTCGTATATGAAGAAGATGTTGGGGTTAACTTTGCCACCGCCATGGGAGAAGAGTGGAGGGAGAATTCAGTGTATGTGTCTGTGTGTGTGTGTGTGTGTGTGTGTGTGTGTGTGTGTGTGGAGATGAAATGTAGAGACGCAAGAAGGGCAGGCAGCGAGAGTATATATTTGAAAAAAGGAGTTTATGAGGCCAAGGAGATGACACTTGTACATTTAAATCTCTGTGTAATCTAATAAAATTTGTCCCCTACTTAAAACGGGATGTGTGTGTGTGTGATCCGAATAGCACTGAACTTAAGTTACTGAACGATATCCACATTCTACTGTTTTGAACACTATCGACTCTCATGCTCTGCCTTGTTGCTGAACTGAACGATATCCACATTCTACTGTTTTGGACCAATATGCTGACACTTTTTTTTTTTTTCCAAACGATAGAGCATCTCTTGCATTAAACAATCAAAATGAGAATGTTACAAATACATATACAATACATAGAGGTCGACACTGGGAGAGCCACTCGCAGGTGGTCTAGAACATAAAACTAAAGATATCATCATACAACTATTAACTATAGAGATAAAGCAGTGATACACCACCGAACCTTTACCCCTATCGGTAACGCAAACAAACAACAGTAAGCTAATGGACCACTGATATAACATCCTAGCCCTTTAGCCCTGCTTGTAACTACCATTAATCTGTCTTTTCCTACTGTTTACGAAGGTCTCTTTTTTTTTGTTTCAAACGATAAATATATTAATAATTAAAAAACTCAAAAAGAGTCGAAGTGACAACTGGCATTGAAACCATAAAAACTGGACCAACCCCTTGAATGGTGATAAAGGAAGTACAAATTCCATCGAGGAGACACACCTGCAAAACACAATTCTAAAACAGAGACATAACTCTATATAGGAAACTGGGACATAAATATTGTTGGATTAAGCAAAACAAAACACAACAAAAGGATAAAAAAAAAATAAAGAAAAAAAACGAAGCCCACTTAAAATAGACTAAGACCTACACCTAGCAGACAAACCGCATAACCAGCCAAACCGACACCCGAAGCTCAATATGCTACTCATGCTCTGCCTTTTTCCCTCCACTTCATTTCTTTTCTTTTCATGCTCTTATCATGACTTAATCTTGCATTTACTTGCCCAGATTCCAGCCCGACAGATTCACCTCGACCCACGATAAAAAACAACATTATCTTGGATGTTCCCGATAAATTGATCCACATCTTGGAGTAAGATTATTCAATCTTCACAGTATATACATTGTTAAATGTCCAAAGAATCTCTAATACTATACAAAGTTGACCATATTACCTTCATTGGTTTTTTACAACCTAAAACCAGTGTTCTAGAAATTGGTAGGCGTCTGATAGGCACTAGACTAGCGCCTAGGCAAGGCCAAGAAGTTAAGATTAGGTACCTTATTTTTTATTTATTTTCTCTACCTATAAAATAAAACTATTTCAACTTATAATAAATCCACACACCTAAGTCCAAATAGTAATATTAATATTTACTCATTTTCAAAGAAAAATGCAACATTACTAACATAGTGTACAACTAGATTGACAATACAAGTGAAAATATCCACTTGTGTATTTTTTATTTTATTTTCTTTGAATGTTTTCACATGTGTTTTTCCTACTCACCGATTGTAACGTCATTAGTACAAAATAGATTTTTAAAAACAAAACGGATGAATTAGGGGAGATCACAAGAAACAAGACTAGGTTAGTGGCACAGTGGTACACGTAAGAAAAAGATGTTGACTATGATGAAACATTTGCCCATGTTACAAGTCTAGAGTCTGTTAGGATGTTCTTACTCATTGCATGTTTTATGTGTTTTATTATTTATCAAATGGATGTGAAATCCTCATTTTCAAATGGTCTTTTGAAGACGTGCCTTATGCCAAACAGCCAGAGGAATATTTTGACTCTCACTACCATGATCATGTTTATAGATTGAAAAAAGACCTTTTATGGACTCAAACAAGCCCCTAAGGCGTGGTACGAACCCTTGATGCAAATTTTAAAGGGCTATTCTCGAGTGGAGTTGATCAAACTCTCTTTGTGCGTAAAAATAGGAAAAATATTATCAATGTACAGATTTATATCGATGAATATTATCTTTAGCTCCACCTTTGAAACCTACATCAATTAGTATATTCATCACATGTCTATGGAGTTTGAGATGAGTATGGTCAGTGAGTTGACCTACTTTTTAGGTCTGTGGGTGAAGCGATCCAAGGATGAAATTTTTCTTAATCAAGCAAAATATACTCAAAACTTAGTAAAAAAGTTTGGGTTGGAACACACTAAGTGTCCATCAACACCGATGGAGAGCCACAAGAAGCTCTCGAAGGATGGTGCTGGAACACCTATTGATCCTTCTCTCTATAGAAGCATGATTGGTAGTTTATTGTATCTAACTGTAAGTATACCTGACCTCTGTTTCAAGGTTGAAATGTGTGCATGCTATAAATCGAATCCTAAGAAATTTCATTTAAAAGTCGTGAAACATATCATTAAGTATGTTAATGGCACTTCTGACTTAGGTATTCTTTACGCACACGATACAAGTGCTAGTCTTCCATGGTATTATGATGCCGACTGGATGGGCAATGTCGATAATAGATTAAGTACGTCATGATGATGTTTTTACATCGGCAACTTGATTTCATGGTTGAGCAAAAAACAGAATTGTGTGCTCTCTCCACTGCAAGCTGAGTTTATTCCGTTGGGAGTTGTTGTTCTCAGCTTGTGTGGATGAAACAAATGATGTTGAAATTTGACCTCAAGGTAAACTATAAATCTTTCTGTGATAATACTAGTGCATTTAATATCTCTAACCACTCTCGAACCAAAACATTGACATTCGTTACCACTTTATTAGAAATTTGGTTGAGAATGACGTGATTACCCTTGAGTATGTTCCAACACAAAACAACTGGTTTATATAATCACAATAACACTGGATTCCCAACGATTCATTTCTTTAAGGAAATCCTTAGGGATGTGCACTCTCTGATTGTTTGTGTGAATATGCATTATATTGTATATTATGGCCATGTGTGTGTGGCTAGAAAACTAATTGATAGGATCGTATATAGCTTTGGCTACGCTAGTAGAGAGTCCAAGTTGCATAAGACCAAGTCATACATCCGTGCACAAATGATCTATTTATGAAAGATCTCTGAGGGGTATTAGGATGCTCCCCGAAGAGTTTTTATCTAATTTTGTGCTTCCGCAAATTAATTTATCTCTGTGTTGCAACACAACTGTGCACTCCATATTTATTACCCTCATTCAAACATCATTTCATGAAATTATACTGACACCATTAACTAACAAAATCAATGACCACAAGATTTCTTTGGCAGTCAAAATTTTAAGTATTATCAATTTCATTTTTGGATATTCAATACTTTTTTCTGGTTTATTTTATTTGTCATAGCATTCAGGTAGTAATATTGATTCAATTAACGATAATTTAAAATAAATTAATAACTTTTGAAATAATTATATAAGGCAAAATTTTATCTATACTGTACAATTTGAAAATAATTGTAAACATGCCATGATCAAATATTGTATTGCATCCCTACATAATAGTTGGAATTAATTGCCATAATGCTAAGGTTACAGTTACCATTCTTGAAAAATTAAGGATAACCCATTACGCATCCTTTGGCATAATAATTGACAGATTTACTAAAAAAAATAAATAAATAAATAAAAACACATATGGTAAGTCAATATACCCTAATAATAAGGAGTTTGTTCAGTAGAAATAAGAAACATAACTGTTTGAATTTTAAACCACCTTAGCGTATAACTATTTACAAATCCCATAATCCTAAATACATATTTCGCCAAATCAGGTATTTTTGAGCAGGTCGAATTGTTTTTTGTTAATTTTTAAACTTCGCATCGTGTTAATACTGTATATTAAATGTATATGTTCCATTTTATTTTCGTGTTTTTTCTGTATACATAATGTATACATAATATATACAGAAGATATACAAAAAACGTATAAGTCTGAAAAATATAAGAAATAACCTGGTAATTTTATCTTTTCGTAATTCTTTTTTGTTTTGCGATCAGACTTATATATAGAAGATATACTCATTACATACTCAAAACATATACATATGATATATTCACTGATTATAAACGAAACCTATACTAAATGTCAGTATATTTGTCAGAAACATATACAGAAGATATACTAATTGTATACATAGGACATAAAAGAAAATAACATAAGATAAATCAATTTTGTCATTATATACAGAATATATACATAAAATATACAAAAAAGCATTAGGGGCTAGGTTTAATTTTGAATCAGATCTCGTTCTCATCGATGGCCATATACATACATATACGTATATATACAATTAATTCTTCCTGGCTTCATGTCCAATTTCCTTTTATCCTGCTCCACTCTCTATTCATCTCCTCCCTTCTTGTACTCGAGAACTAGCAGCCTGAGGGCCTTCCGCACTTGAGTAGCCTTCGAGCAGCCCATCGCGAACACTTTTCTCCCGTTGAAAAGACCACCACCTGGACGACGATCGTACGTATCCCTGCTGATCTTCGTCTATTTCACATTTTTTCCCCTATTTTTGCGGACTTGCTTTTCTGGAAGTTGTTGTACTGCTTCTCTTCTTCCTGGTACCCCATAAGAAATTCTCGTTGCTTTATTTGCCACTAATTAAGGAGTTGACATATAATAAAACTTTATTTGCCACTAATTAAGGAGTTGACAGTTATTAAAACTCTAGTGTATGTACAAATAGTTATGGTACATGTGGTAGGTTTGTAAATAAATATATATGGAATATAAATCTATAATATAAAGAATATTGTCTGGTATGGAGTGTAAATTCCTCATTATATAAACATAAAATATAGCCCATATGAGTGTTAATGAAGGTTGCGAAAAGATGAATAATTGACAACAATACGTAAGCTATTGCTAGGCAATCCTAATGATTAGACAGTCATACATTTACA